AGGTGCGACCACCCCTCTTCGAGTCTGCGCCCTCGAATTTTTGTAAACTAGACCTTTAAACGTGAAGCGAGAGAATTTTACACCAATCCTGATAAAAGGTGTGTATGACTACAGTCACTCAAATTCCACCTTAAATGTAGAAAGAATATAAAAATAGCCAAAGAAATGGGGGATTTTCGGAGAAGAAGATAACACTGTAGATTTTCGGAGAAGATGATCTTCGGAGGAAAAGAAGATAACACCGTGAGCAAGTCAAGGGAAACTCCACCTCAGACTGCCTCCGACAACTGGGACCGGCCAACGGGCTGAGCCTCGCTTCTCCCCCCCTTGGGACACCTTGGGTGAGATTTAGACTAAGCGCTCTTCTCAGGAATCTGAAGAAATCTCTCTAGAGAATTACTCCTTTATGTTTATAGCCAGGCTGTATTATTTCTAACCTTTTCACACATTTTATACTTAATAACATGTTTGCACATGCTTTCTTGCAGACAGTCACTATCACCAGCAATTCAAAAAACCTCTGTACCTGTTGCACAAATAAAACTGCACTGTTTCAGTAGCCAGTTGTCACAGTTTCTCACCGAACACAACAAAATGTGGCCGTGCTTGTTCATGAGCACAACTGGACTGAAGGTGCAACTGCTATTAGTGTATCCAGAATCGTGGGAGTTTAATATACATATTCAACACGACTGGACTGGTAGTGGCAAATAGGATATCACTCAGAACTTAAACCTAGCCGCACCGAGCCTCTCACTCCGGTGAAGAGAGTTAAAACGCAAGGGGGTTTATTTTCTGCCAAATTAACGCAACAGGTTCCTCCAGGCATCTCAGTCATGAACCCACCCAAGTGCGTAGTGGAGCCGTGGTTCCCTACTGACAAGGTGGTAACCTTGGAAAGGGAAATTCTCTACTATAACTGGTGCTTTTTGGAAAATTCCTGAGAACCACTGCCCGTCACTGATGGGGAACCCACTCATCGTACCCTGCTTTTGAACAGTTATTTGCAGAATGTGCATCGAGCCCTCGCATACAAGAATTTCCATCCTTCTCAGGTTCTTCATGTGCTCTGTCTGTGAACGGTGCTGTGTGGAGTTTTTCAAGTGTTTATAATGATGCTTTATGTAGGCTTGCACTGTGATGAGCTAATTAACATTCCAAAACCAAAGGTCAGTAAAGGATTAGCTCATTTCCTTTACAAAGACTTTGCCATCCTGCTCTCACCTGGCCGGCACTCACAGCAAGGCAGGCAGGTGAGAAATGAGGTAAGAAACAGTCAAATCCACTTGCCATTTCAGATGCTGGAAGAACAGATTCATGGGTCTACTGCAAGAAGCAAAGCAGGCTCCAAAAATCCCCAATTCACCAGCTCCGCTTTGGTGCCTTGGACAACAGAGCTCATAAAAATATTTACGTGGTCTACACAAAAGACAAGTTGGCAAACCAGCTGAACTCCAGCAAAGTCCAGCTGTCAGGCATGTCTTGCAAGCACAGACAGTGAGAAGGAAATAACAGACTCACTGGCCTCACTCAGCCTCAGAATCTCTGAGAAAAGGGCAAAGAAGCAACACAGAAGCAAAGGCGCTACAGACTTCCTAGGACACCAGTCCAAGGACTCCCTGGAGTACAAGTGCACAGACTGGGATATCCATGGAGAAGCCTTTGAAGGAGAAAGGCTTCTCTCAGAGCAAGACTGATCAGTGGCAAGGCATGGGGGTAGAAAAGGGGGAAATCAGCGGGGAGATGAGTTGGCAGCACCGAACTTACCTTATGCAACGCCAGCGAATGGCCGTATCTCATCTCTACGGAGTTCACCGTGTTGTCCAGCGGAAGCCACTCTTCAGAAATAAGATCATACCTGTAGAATAAAAATGGAATTCATTATCTCAGAAGTAGATAATAGAGTTGAGAAAAATATTGCTCATCGTTTCCAGGATTTGTGGGAAATCATTTTATTTAACAGAAGTCCCACCAGGATTTCTGCATGCACACAGCACTCGCAGACTACATTTGGATTAAGAAATCCAGCCAAGCCTGCTCTGTTACTTCACGTCCACGTATCGATTCGCTTTACCAGGAGTTTTCTTTCCCATGTAAAACCAAGAGCTAATGCCTTGTCTATTAAACTACAGCAACTTGCACCACATGATCCACCCTAAAGAGCAGAAAAAGTTGACACTAAGCTCAGACAAGTTCCAACTACCTGATACAAACCCCACACCTGCCAGTGTTTAAAAGCCACTTTTCAATTACACCTCTGTCACTCAAGCATATTTTTCCTATGAACTTGAAACAAGATAAACCCTTTGCCCTGAAAATAGCCCGTGGCTTTTTAGATAAAAGAATGAACGACACTCGCCAGGATTACAGCCTTATAAGATAAAATCACCTCTGAGAAAGCGTTCAATGAAGCCACGGGGTATCTGTTGAAAAATCAGGCTTGACTTTGAAAGAGCAAATTGTGGATGTAATCAGCAACTATTCTATAACTGAGTGTGCATTTTCAGCTCTTCTTTAACTTGCCCCATAAGAATTATTACCTCTGGACATGAGTGCAGAACACACAGCTTAGGTCCATGCAAGCAAGGTGTGCAGGTATCCCTGGAAAACATCCAGCTTCTGCCTAGATCTGCCCAAGTTCTATCACAGAATCACAGAATCACAGAATAGTAGGGGTTGGAAGGGACCTCTGTGGGTCATCTAGTCCAACCCTCCTGCCGAAGCAGGGTCAAGCTCAAGAGGAAGCCTGAAATGTTTGTTGTTTTTTTTTTTTTAATCAGGAATTTCCATAAGGTACACAATTATTATTTGCTATTTTAGTTATGTTAAATCTCCTCAACTAATTGCATAAACGCCGTCACCCTACCTGCCACTCCCTGTTTGGTATCCCATCCACTACGCATAAACATCCACGGAAATCAGTATGTATTCATTAAGGAGCCAAACACTCTGAAATCACATGGACATAAGGAAGGGCTAAAAACACTGAAGCAAAACTACCCTCTCTGAATACGAGGCCAGATTTAATTTAGAAGCTAACCTAGAAAGATATAGCGAACAGTTAAATGTTGTCAGAAGCAGATGAATCAAAAATTCACTGAACATCAGGAATCTTGTGCTTTTTCTCTTCCAAAATTAGCAACCCTTAGCAGTGTTTTCCTACATCTCAGACATGAGTCTAAGTTTTTTTTTACTGCTGTTTTCCCCTGGAGATGGAGCGTAGGCCAGAGCACAGCATGTCGAATGGCATTTTCTAAAAATAATTCTCAAATCTAGGTTCCTCTACTTTGAACTTTATTATCTAGGTTTATACTCACGCTAAAACCTTCTGAGAGTCAGAATGATTGAAGACGTAGCCTCCAACAATCCACATTTTGTTGTCGTGGATTACGGTTTTGTGAGACGCTCGAGGAAGTTTCGGAAGCGAGTATTCCTCCCGGGTCCAGAACGACTGGTTTGCAGGAACGGGAATCGAACAGCCAGGACCTGGGAAAGTAAGGTTTAAAAATTCAGTCATTTTTTGCCAAGCCTGTATTTCAGCTAGAGGTCAGTACCCTTCACCACAGGGGACAAAGCCAGTGTGTGCCCAGGTAACAGGTGGAAGCTGCGATCCTCATTTCCTTGCCCACAGCAGCAATCTGGGATGGACCTGGTGTGCAATCTCCCAACCGTAACCACACATTTCAAATTTAACGTTTGTATTCAGAACTAAAAAGCAGTTCCAGACCAGACGAACTGGTGATGCAGCAAAGCAGACACTCTGCTCTGTTCTCTCCCGCTGTGATTACGGGGGGGGCATAGTGCAGACCCCTTCCCACTCCACACTAGGAGGGTATCTTCCAGCACTTCTCCTGCTGCCATGTGCCCATAGAAGCCCCAACATACCCCAAGAAACCTTCAGGAATCATAGAATCATTAAGGTTGGAACAGACCTCTAAGATCATCAAGTCCAAACGTCAACCCAACACCACCATGCCTTCAAAACCATGTGCTCAAGTGCCATACCTACACGGTTTTTAACACCTCCATGGACGGTGACACCACTTTCCTGGCCAGCCTGTTTCAACGCTTCACAACTCTTTCAGGAATGAAATTTTTCCTCATATCCAATCTAAACGTCTCCCGATGCAACTTGAGGCCATGTGCTTTTAATAATGTCTTTCCATCTCTTGGCACCTTCGTGACACTGCCGGGTGTATCCCGCTGGTGGGACGGGGCCTCACCACGGCAGGATCTCTGTTCCTGCTGTGCTGGTATGAGTGCAGTTCTTGGAAGGAGATGTTTCTCAATGGTGATGAAGGGGGTGCAGGACGCTCGTTCCTCCTGTGTCTGCCTCAGCTGTGCCTCCAGTTCTTGGAGCCACTTGTCTGTGCAGGCTCATGAAGATCTGCTCAGCAGCAAGCTGCAAAAACCCAAGGGTCTACAGCTATCTTTCCCTCTTTTAATTTCTCCTTCTCAGCAATATATTTTTGAGAATTGTACACTTACTATTTTTACCTATATTTCTGCTTCTCTTAAACCAACTTTTGCCCTGCCAGGCTTCCGTTCACAGCTCCCCATGGCGTGGCAGAAGAGGAGCAGCAAGCGGCAAGGTCTCAGTAAAGTCAAAAGCCGCATGGATGCACTCCCTTCTTCTCAGTGACAGCCATCCACACGCACAGGGTTACTACAACAGCGAGCACAGAAGCTGCTGAAGGGGCTCAAGCCTTGGAGAGGGAACAGGTTTGTCAGGACAGCCTTTGGACAGTCATAAAAGCGAGTCACTGTGTCACACAGTTCTGCTCTCGACTGTAAGGGTCGAAAACTCGGCTTGTTCTTGCCGAGTTTCTGCCAGCAGTAATCTCCAGTTCAGGCAAGCAGACTGGAATCTGGTTTATCACCGTTGGAAAACTCCTGGTTTCTGAAGTAGTGTGATCATTTTCAGATGTAAAAAGGCTTCGGAGTAAGACAGACAAGAGCAGCTCTCATCTCGTTCTGCTACGGTTTGGTTTGGGGATTTGGTGGTTGTTTTTTTTTTGGTGGGTTGTTGTGGTTTGGGATTTTTTTTTTTCCCCTTACTCACTCACCTACTACAGGAATGAGACAGGGGAAAAACAAGGGGTAGGCTAAAAGCTGATCAAACATGAGCCCACCTTTGCTCTCAGTGCAGAAGCAGACTCCAGATAAGCACGAGGAGGCACTGCACCACATACAGGGACATGGTCTCCCTGCCCTGAAGTAGGTTACATGTGGCTGGCTTCACACCCGAGAGGCAGACGCGCTCACCTCGGTACCGGGTGCGTCCTCCTTAGGATGCTCATTCTGGATTTTTCCACCGTGCCTAACACACTGTCCGGGTTTGCGGCGTGGCTGAGTGGTGGCAGCGGGTGCTGGTGGCATTTCACATGAGACTAATTCTTCCACATCAGTCTATCTTTGCAAAAGAAACATCTGTGTTTGGTCCGAACTGTTGCTAAGACTGAGGCAGTCGACCAGCGGAGCTGGACACCAGAACAAGGCATTTTCTAAGACTGAGGCAGTCAACCAGCGGGGCTGGACACGAGAACAAGGCATTTTGTGTGTTCGAACAGGTTAACTACTGCCGCCAGGCTCGACTTTGTTTTAGGTGCACACTAACGAGGTTTAAAGTACAACAGGTTGGTACTGCTTTGTAGGGTAGCACAGTTGCTTTAAAAAGAATTTTTTACCAAAGATCTTTTGATACGAAAAGGTAGATGGCAGCATCAGACGCTCTGTTCCTACTCAAAATGCTAATCCTTGCCAAGCAGAACATTCTTAAATACTCCCAATTAAACCGCAAAAGCCATAAATAGAAAAGGCAACCTCTTACCAAGAGCTTCTCCATATCAATCAGGAGGCTTACCTTGCCAGCCTGCAGAGCACAAACACGCCTTGGTATCGTTCGGGTTGCAGTGCCCTCTCTCGGGTGCCCCGCAGTCATCGGCGCAGTAGGGAACGTCACAAGCTTCCCCCTTCCAGTATTTGGCACATTCACATTCCAGAGCACCGCTGCTGTTGTTGAGCCTGCACTCTCCTCGGCCGGAGCAATTATTGGGACACATATTGAAACTGCCAACGTCAGGGGGAGAAGGTTCGTCAGTAATGAAACAGATTCCCCAGCTGCACCTCTTATTAAGGAATACAAGAGCGACGCTGAACCCAAAGTCAATACAGCTGTGTGTCACCACACAGACCAACAGAGAGCCGCTCACCTGGAGCGCGATGCGATGGACCTGCTGAGATTTGTTCTCTGCCCATCGTCTCCAGAGCTGCCTCGCTTCATGAGTTCAGCTTATTATCAATGTGATTTCTAGCCACTTGTAATGCAAATGAATTGCCTTAAAACGCCCAACACTAAGTGAAGAATTTAATCAGCGCTTCAGGCTTTTGTGGTGTCTGTGCAATTTAGACTTAAACTACTCACAATTACGAGCTATTCTGGGATCTGCTTACCAAGGGAACACACTTGAGATAAGCCCAAGCCAAAGATGGGCCTGTTTTGAATCACTTCTGATTTTATAATATCTGCTGTCTAGCTGAGGCAAAACCAGACATATCCTTGGTGAAGATCCAAACTCAGAGACCCTATTCGTTTCCAAACACCAGTTTTTGCGGGCGTTATCAACCAGTATAACTCACAGATGGGGATTACTACCCCATACTCTCACTGTCATGCGACAGCAGGAGTCACTGGCTCCAAGACCATCATTTCACAAGTGTCTGTCCAGTACCTGTGTCTAGTAGTAACTATAAACACTGTTAAACTGAAAAAGAAATAGATACACCCTTCCATCTACTCTCTGCAAAAACGTTAGGAGGAAACCTAACGATAGAAGACACAGAAACAAAACACAAAACCGCACTCAAAAATTGTTCAAAACGATCAAGAAAGCGAGGAGTTAAGGAAATATTAAGATACCTCAAAGCAACTTAAAAAAGGCAGGTTATTCTGTAAGAGAATGTCTCGGCCGTGTCGCGATAGCGCAATGCCGACAGCTGGCTATAGATGGTGTCGTGGTTTATGGCATCAGCCAGGCTTTGAACACACTTCAGCTGCTGTGCATCAAGGAATTTTGCAAAGGCTCCTGTTTCCTTCTAGAGATTTCAAGGGGGGCTGGATGCCCCGCATTTTTCAAAGAATCCACTGTATATTTAAAGTGCCTAATAAGGATAAAAGTACCAAGACTGGTGTTCAAAAAAACTAAGCACCTCGTTTTAAGGAAAACTTTCAATTTTTGCAATAAATCAGTTGTGACCAAGAGTTTTTGGAAAGAGGCGAGAACTTCTGCAAGTTACATCCAAATTAAAAACTCCCAGTGCAGCACAAACATAATTTGTATCTGTAGCAGGAAAAAACTCAAAGCCTGTGATCCCCACCACATGCAAGAATTGCCATCTCTGCCAGGACGTCCACACTGAGATCATCTACTTCAGAACAAAACCTTTCCAAAAGCAGCTGACGCATTAGGGAGCACCCTAGAATTATTTTTAAAAAGCTTACCAATGAGGACTAAATATACTTTAGCAAACAGAAAGCACCCATCTATAATATTTCAAATACAAACCAATGAACTAACATAACCATTCCAGCCTATAAAGCCAAAACAGCATGTGAGGAGTTGGATGAGACCTCTGGCGATCACCCAGCCCAACCCCGTGCCCAAGCAGGGTCACCCAGAGCAGGCTGCACAGCACCGCGTCCAGGTGGGGCTGGAATATCTCCAGAGAAGGAGACTCCACAGCCTCCCTGGGCAGCCTGGGGCAGGGCTCAGTGACCCTACGCGG